CATCCACCCATCCACCCAGCCAGCCAGCCATCCAGCCATTTATTCATCCATCGATTCATCAATCCATCCACCCGTTTATGCATGTGAACTTTCTATTTCAAAATACTTTGATATTTTACATCGTCCAACAATGTCATTTAACTCATAGATGAATTTTTCTTGTAGGATTTTTAACGATCACAACAACCATCTCATAACGAAGCAGGATAAACAAGCCTTTGGTCTTCCTAACAGCTAGATCTATGATATCTTTACCAGGTTTAATGCGGATATGTCTAAGCCTCGCCCCACCGACCATCTGGCTGTTGTGGTCCGATGCGAAACCCTCTTTCGGTATTGGTTTGCTGTTGTACCACTTGTCAGGAAAGAGGTTGGGAATCAATTGTTCGTTGGACCATTTCCAGAAGTCAAGGTCTCTTTTAATCTGCAGAAAAATTGTTTATAGATATTAATCTATAGGAATATCACATTTATAATAGTTAATTGATCACTATTCCCTTAACGCAATTATATATTGATCACACTCAAATTATATATTTTCTAATGCCTAGACAAAAACAACTTTCCCCTACCTCATACCTCATACCCTAAAAATCTCCACCCTCACGTATAAGAGCCAAACCTCAACCAAAGCCCTCCACATACCTTACCCCTTACCCTCCCTCATCCAATATCATCAGCCTGCTTACCCCACATACCCTACTCCAAACCCTCCCTCTGTCAATATCGGCATCCGACCCTCCCTCCACATACCTTACCACTAACTCTATCCCTCCTCCACATACCTTACCCCTAACCCTCACTCTTCCACATATCTTATCCATAGCCCTCACTCCTCCACACACCTTATCCCTAACCCTCCCTCCTCCACATACCTTACCCCTAACCCTCCTTCCTCCTCATACCTTATCCCTAACCCTCCCTCCGCCACATACCTTACCCCTAACCCTCCTTCCTCCTCATACCTTATTTCTAACCCTCCCTCCGCCACATACCTTATCCCTGACCCTCCCTCCTCCACATACCTTATCCCTAACCCTAACTACTCCACACACTTTATCCCTAACCCTCCCTCCGCCACACACCTTATCCCTAACCCTCCCTTCTCCTCATACCTTATCACTAATCCTCCCTCTGCCACATACCTTATCCCTGACCCTCTCTCCTCCACACACCTTATTCCTAACCCTCCCTTCTCCTCATACCTTATCACTAATCCTCCTTCCTCCACACACCTTATCCCTAACCTTCCCTCCTCTACATACCATGCCCAAAACCCTCCATCCCCAGATACCATTTCCAAAACCATTCCTCCTTCGCATACCTTACCACTAACCTTCCTTCCTCAATAACTATACCTGACTCTCCCTCCTCTACATAAATTAGTCCAATCCTCCAATACCCACGCACACGCTCAACCCCCAACCTCCCCCCCATCTCCATAAATTATGACCGCTTTTTAAAGAATATCATTATACCAACCTCTTGGAAATTCGCTACGAACATCTTTTTGAAATTATCAGTTTGAATGAACGAATAGTAATCCTTGTGAGTATAGGCGATCATCATTACAAGACAAAGGAACAAATAAAAGAATCCTATCTCCCTGTAAACATGATGTATAAAATGTTAATGAATCTAATAAAAAAGTTATTTCATTGCCTTTACAAATAACATAAAGATATCTTTTGAATTAAAAATATATAAAAAGACGTGAAATGTTTGGTCTCAAAGAGGTTTATATAAAAAGGACGAGGAACGCCTGGTCGATATCGTGATTTTTACACCAGCTCAAAATGTTTAATTTTGAGCTTAAACTCATCACACGTAGATGAGCTTGGCGTTGGTGCTTGGGTGGGAGGAGCCTCGGGAACTCGGCGGAGGTCAGCGGAGCGTTGGTGTAGCGTACAAACTGCGTAAGCTAGCGTTAGCGATATGAGATAGCGCATAGCGTTAGCGAAATCGGATAGCACGTGGCGTTAGCGAAATTGGATAGCACCCGATGCAAGCTTCGTCCCCAGATACCATCTGTTCATCATTCATCTCATTGCGTGAGACATTAATTTGCTTATCAGATGGCCGCGAAGCTGTAGCCTTTTGATGACAGATACTTGCGATAACAGGCAACTTAGTTCAAGTCTAACTTTGCTGAAATATTTTATTTAACCACATTTAATCCGTTGGTGTAAAAGTGATGAAAATCACCAGGCGTTCCTCGCTCTCATTTGCATGACGGGTTCTAGTTTTCTCGCGTTATTCGAAAGTTTTCGAAGTAAAACACGTCATTTATAAGTTTCCTAGTCTTTGGGGGTCTATTCCCTTGKGATTGGGAGCATTTGGAACAGTTTCCGAGTGTTTTTCAAAAAAGGGTTAAAATTTTGTCAAAAAAGTTACATAAAAAGGACGAGGAACGCCTGGT